TGTGATACAGAGTGTTGGGCTGGGTGGGCCCTTGGCCTGATCCAACATTGGCGTCTCTTATGTTCTTATGTTTAACTGTCATACAAAACATAGCAAGCTTATCAACTGGATATTGCAGATCCTTAAATCTCCTTCCCACCCTCCTCCTGACCTACAATAGCATTCCAGTTCTGAACCATGCACATCAAAGGAGTCTAAACTTTAATCTTACTTCCCCGATTTCCCATCTTGGCACAGAGAACACACAAACCACAGACAAGGAAGACTAGACCACAGAAGGGAAACAACAACTCACACACACAAAAGACCACAGACACCACAGAAACCCTGCCACTAAAACTGAACTGCCCCAATATTTTAGTAAAACCAAAAACCAGAAACCTCTCTGGTGGCACACCCCTGCTCCCAAATAAGGAAGACTGACAAAGGATTTACAGATCCACTCAAAAAGGTACCTTTAACCAGCTTACAGAAACCTGGTTCCTCGTCACTGGACTTCAGGGATCCGCCTACTGATGCCCAAGACAGCCACTTCCAAGCGCAGGCCTGAGGCTAAAGGATAGATGAAAAGACAGCCAGGTGCACCACTCCTTAAAGCATCTGGCCTCCCTGCTCCAGCTGCAAATATCCGACTCACCAGTACTAAAGGTCCCATGGATCGCCAAATTCTGTTATACAAATAGAATCCCAGTCAAAGAAGAAGTCAAAATGAGGAGGAAGGCTCTTGGTGTTTTAATTGCAATCAGGACACCTGAAAACAGTTAGGTCAAACCAGCCTATCAAAAATTGACTGCTTTCTGAACACAATTTTTTAAATTATTATTAATAATAATTCAATTTATACCCCGCCCTCCCTACGAACGGGCTCAGGGCGGCTAGGAAGTACATGAAATTTTATACTTGAAATGACATAGTCATGAAGATAACATTCAAAAAGCATAATTGGTTACAAAGGTAACAGTGCATCATTTGAGTAGTAGTCCACTCATTGGTGAAATATGAGAAAAGGTGTGCCTACATAATATCTTAAGTGTTTACTTAACCTCACCTGAATAATATTGGCCAAGGATTCTTCATACCCAAACAGAGGTGTTTTTCCCGATACGAAGCTAAAATCCTTTTTGACCCAGACACTGAAAAGTTTTACCCTAAACAACTAAAAACCATGAACTCTATCCCTATCTTCTATACCAAAAGAATGTTGTTTTTTTGTCTGCTAGCATCAGCTAGAAAAATAATCTAACCTACAAGAGAAGTCTTACTATTTAGTAGGCCTTCATCACATCCTCATAAAATCTTACTTAGGAGAAAAATCTATAAAATCAGAAAGAAAAAAAATCTTTATATTCCCATTCATACTACAAGTCCCCCCCCCCTTGGTACAGTGACCACATATAGGCTCGCTGCCGCCATTATAAATATCTTTGTGACATCATGATGTGGTTCCCTGAGGGAGCAGATGATGGGAATAGTGCCTGGCAACCATTTGAACAAAAAGGAAGGCACTGAATACAAAAGCAAAATCCAAAAAGAAGCAGAATGCCAAGAAAAACAAAAACAAGGCATGTTTTCATGGTTGCTCACAAACCACTGAACCAGTCCCCAAACCAGTCATTCCACCATTTATTATCTGAGATAGTCACCCTGTGTGTCAAGTCTTTCAGATCTTTAATGTGACTTTCAGTAGACCTGATCACTAAGATTCAGACAGCACATCCCTTCAAATTCTTCACAGCCGTGATTAGCATGTAAAAGAAGATAATCTGTAGCCATGTGATTCTGCATAGCAGCTTTCTCAGTAGCTTGCAAGTCACGTAACATGTCTCCCAAAGTTTGAGAAGTATCAGTGATGCTGTGAGGCAATAAACAAGTTATAGCATTTAAATTCCTGGAAGTCTTAATAGTTAATGAGAGAAGTTGCTAAAGCTACAGTCTCACTTAAAGTGAGTAAATGAGCATCAGGATTACAATTCTCATCTAAATGTCTAAGGCCCCTTTTTTCTCTAGTGTTCCCTCTAAGCTGAGTTAGTGCGAGCCAGCCATGGCCGGCTCACCCACTAGGCGAACTAGGCATTCGCCTAGAGTGCTGGGCCCTGGATGGGGCGCCGAGCTGTGCCTCCCCCCCGCTGCCAAGAGCCCACAAGCAGCTCTCCAAGTGTCAGCACTTCGCTAATTGGGGAGAGGCATCCGGTGAGCATCCCCCGCCTGGAGACAGGATCCCCCCTCACCTCCCTCCCAAACTGCCTTCGGAAGCGGAGCACGAGAGAAATCTCTCTTCCATCTTGGAGAGCGCTGCAGGAACATGTGGGGCGTGCTCGCTGAGTCTGACAGTTGCGGGGGGGAGGTGGGGGAGGCGGTAGCAAAAGGGTGGCTGGCTCCAGAGGTCTCCAGACCCCACCGGGAGGTTGGCATCTGCACCACAAGGCAGCCTCGCCTAGGGCACAGAAACACCTCGAGCCGGCCCTGGAGCCAGCTCACGGTTTTTTAGCCTCCGGCTCACACATTTTTGTCTTAGCTCAGGAAGGAGGGCTCCAGAGCAAACTAATTTCTGCAGCCAAATTGCTCGCTCACAACTTTAATGCCGGTAGCTCACAAAGTAGGATTTTTGCTCACAAGACTCCACAGCTTAGAGGGAGCATTGCTAGTGATGTTAAAATGTTTCATCCAAGGCACTAGAAGTGGCATTAGTCAGCCAAAACTACAAGGTCCACCCTTAGCAAAAGCTGGAATATAAGAATATGCCATTTTCCCACAAAGAAGAAACCATCCAGTGGGCAAAACGGTATGCCATGCTGCTGCAGGGGAATTATAAATCTTATTGCAATGTAAATCTGTATTAGACACATGAAGACAATGTTGCTGACATCCTGAGAAACTAATGCACAATTGGGCAGGGATCACATGTGTAAGCTGAACCGGAAGTGTATTCTTATCCAGAGTAGGTGTAAGATTCTCCCATCTATAAATAGAACTATGAATGGCATAAATACTTAAAACTAGTAGGAATCCCCCATAAACATGAAGTAAAAACATCCTTGGCATCCAGGCCATTATGAAGACAAAAGGCAGAAAACTTGAGACGGTATACCAAACATTGTGCGAATAATCCCATTCAAACTGGTGGATGTGTGTCTGTAAAACAAAAACATTAAAAAGGGAAAGGAGGAGGAATCTAAGATAATTCCATTCCATCTTCCCAATTTGTAACAGGATTACACCAGGTGGATAAATCAGGATGGCTCCTATAATCTGTTGGTGACCTACCAGGTCTCAGAATTCCTCTGGGAGTTATATACTGGCTATACCAACAGTAAAAACACTCATATCCCTGGTCACCCCACCATTCTTGCCCATGTGTGGTACTGATATCGAAAAAAGAAGAAGAGAAGAAGAGATTGGATTTATACCCCGCCCTTCACTTGGAGTCTCAGAGCGGGCTTGCCAGAGAATAAGGGGGAGAATCTTAAAGAAGTGATGAGTGAACTACTAGCCCCAGTGACAGAAATGAAGACGAAAGCATTACTGAGTGATATGGATGTGGTCTACAGATCATATTCAGGTTACATAAAGAAAAATCATCTGCCTGGGAAAATTGTCGTAAGATTCTCGAAGAGACATGTGAGGGATGCAATCCTGAAAGCGGTCTCTGGAATACCCGTGAAAGTGGGGGGAAATACCATCAGGACGCTAAAGGATATTCCATTTGAAGTGAGACAATGGAGAAGGAAGTACAAAGAGCTCGTGCTTTTTCTTCAGACAAACTCAATTGGATATAAATGGCTATTTCCAGAAGGCATCACTTTCAAGATCAAGGGTAAAAAAGAAAAGATTGACTCTGTTTTGAAAGCTCAAGAATTCTTAAGGGTTCATCTGAGAAGACCAGAGGACGGGGGAAAAGAAGAGGACAGCAAGTCTAGTGGCGAGTTGGACTCGGGTTCTTCCGGAGAGGACTCTCTGACAGAACAAGGGGCAGCTGCCCCCAAAAGTCCTTATAAGCTGCGAAGAGAAGAGGAAAGGAGAAGTGAAGACTGAAGGACTCTGAATTGATGATTTAAATGATTTAAATGAAGTGAAGATTAATTGTTACTAAGCTAGTGAAGATCTCCTCTCTTGGGTTTTTAGTTAGTTGTGGGTTTCTTTGCTTTATCCTGTATATGTAGTTCCCCTTCCCATTTTTTCTGTGATAGTTTTGTAGTCTTATAAAAAATAATTTAAAAAATCCCCTCCGGGGGCTCAAAAAAAAAATATCCCAAAGGGCCATTTCACAAGCAGAAAAAGGACTAAAGGATTATTTCAACTCTATTTTCCAAGTTCCCTTATAGCTTTCCCAATCACAATATCCATCGAGTAATAGGACGTACTTCACCCTAAAATTCCAAAAATCAGCAGGGTAGTGTCTGTAATACCAAGTACACTGCAAAAGAGTCCCATTCCAGTTATATATCAGGTCCCATTCACACTTAGCATGTGGACATACAACAACAGTACGTAAAGGTTTTTCCCACCTAATCCTAGCACCTGGTCTCCAAAAATTGATCAAAAAATATAAAAAAACATTCTTCCCGAGTCAGGTTAACCTCTTCCTGTGGGGAAGTGAGTGCTTCTTCCTGATTAGCCTCCGTTTTGACAGCTTTTAAGCCCCAAAAGATGTTTCGGGCTTACAAATGTCAAAAGGACAGGACGATGGAAATAAATGATTTGAAAAGATGGTAGATCTATAGGAATAAACCAAAGTCCTTCTCTCACCCACCAACCCCAGAGGTAGTTATATCTTGCTTCACCTCCTTCAAAATGATAGAAAACCCGAGTTACACCACCATTATATTTCAAGCAGTAACAAGTGGCTACTGGAAGTTGTTGAAGAGTATCACCAATCAGTCGAGAAAACCTTCCTCTTGCATGATAACAAAATTCACTCCACCAAAAAGGATGCCATTCTCCTCCCCCTCCCAAAGTCCAATAAAGATAAAAAAGGAGAGAATGACGAACACGGGTTCGAATTAAGGGTGCTGAAACAGAGCTTGGAGACAGTCGAAAGGTTCTGGCCTCCAGGATTTATCCCTATCAGGTTCTTGGGATCCCACACTTCGGGAATCCGTTTCTTCAGGCTCTTGCACGTGGCCCTCGCCAGTAGCTAGGACACTGGCTGTCCCGTCGCCTTCTGATGTTGCTTCCTTGTCACTCTCTGCGTCTTCAGGACCACCTGGCACCTCATCTGCATCACGAACTCGTTTCACTCTGGTATGATGAACCCAGCCGTCAGCGACTGTAGTCTTCACAGCACTATCAGAAATCAGGAGCACCTGGAGTGGACCCTTCCACCGTGGCTTTAGAGGCTCATGCTTGATCAGGACCTAATCTCCAGGCTGAAAAGAATGAACTGGACAATCCTATGGAAGCGGCTGGACACCAGCAGCAGCCCTATGAAGAGAGGAAAGACAAGCCTGCAGGGCAGACACACGCTCAGCAAGAATTTTATCCCCAGTCTCAACATTTACCTCTCCTTTTCCCAAGTCTGTCCATATACTAACTCAAAAGGGGATAATCCCAATTTACCCAAGGTTCCGCTGCCCTGATTTGTGTAAATGCTATAGGAAGCATGTCTGGCCGTTTTGAGGAAGTCTCCATACAAAGCCTAGTCAAAGTCGTTTTTAAAGTTCTGTTCAAACATTCCACTTGGCCACGAGACTGGGGTCTCCACGCAGTATGTACTTTCCACTCAATCCCCAGGGTTTGTGTCACCTGCTGGATGATTTGAGGTAAAAGAACTTCCACAGTCTGAATTTAATCCCTTTGGCAAACCAAACCTTGGTATGATGTCATCCAGTCAAAGTTTAGCTACATTGCGAGCGGGAGCGGTTGGGGCAGTACAGGGAAATGCTTCAGGCCATCCTGTTAAGCGATCTACAAAAACAAGCAAATATTTGTATCTCCCAACTCTAGGAAGTTCAGTATAATCAACTTGGAAAAATTAAAACGGTCAATGAGCCCAGGGTCTGGCTCCTGGAGGCACTGAAACTCCTTTCTTTCCATTAACATTCTGGCAGGTGGGACATGCTTGAACTTCTCTTTCTGCTTCCTGAAAAAGACCAGGAACAATTATAAATCTGCTTAAAGTTCTCCCCATTATACTCCCACAGTGATGTGTGGAATGATGAAAGTCTTGAAGAATCTTTAAAAGGAGAGCACGTGGCACCCAAACCCTGCCATCAAAATTAATAAGTCATCCATCTTTATTTTCAGTAGCCCCCTCCCTTTTGTGTTCTCTCCTGTTCCTCAGGAAGGTAAACAGACTTGTCATGTAAATCAAAAGATGGAAACAGAGCCATCAATAAAGTCTCAGGTGGCATTAAGGCACTTTTCTTTGCAGTATTATCAGCCAGGTGATTTCCTCTCGTTTCAGGAGTGTCCAATTTCTGACGTCCTTGGATGTGCACAACATGAGCTAGAGGTTTCCTTCCTGCTGTCAAAAAACCCCACGTTCTTTCCATAGAGGTCCAAAAGCATGGACTACTCCAAAAACATACTTAGAGTCTGTGTACTGTGACTGAATCTCCTTCCACACTCTCAGCAATCTAAAGGCTTCTACCCCGTGTGGGTTCTCAGATGTTTTTGAATAGTGCTACTGTCAAGGAATCTCTTTCAACAGTCTGAGCATTCAAAAGGCTTCTCCACTGTGTGGATTCTTAAGATGATTCTGAAGATGGCTACTGTGACTGAATCCTCTTCCACACTCTGAGGATTCAAAAGGCTTCTCCAATGTGGGTTCTTCGATGCATTTGAAGAGTGCTACTGTCATGGAATCTTTTCCCACACTCTGAGCATTCAAAAGGCTTCCCCCCCGTGTGGGTTCTTAGATGTTTTTGAAGAGTGCTACTAACACTGAATCTCTTTCTACACTCTGTGCATTCAAAAGGCTTCTCCCCTGTGTGGGTTCTTAGATGATTTTGAAGAGTGCCACTGCGACTGAATCTCTTCCCACCCTCTGAGCATTCAAAAGGCTTCTCCAATGTGGGTTCTTCGATGCATTTGAAGAGTGCTACTGTCATGGAATCTTTTCCCACACTCTGAGCATTCAAATGGCTTCTCCCCTGTGTGGGTTCTGAGATGGGTTTTAAGAGGACTACTATGACTGAATCTCTTCCCACACTCTGAGCATTCAAAAGGCTTCTCCCCTGTGTGGGTTCTTAAATGATTTTGAAGAGTGCCACTGCGACTGAATCTCTTCCCACAGTCTGAACATTCAAAAGGCTTCTCCCCTGTGTGGGTTCTAAGATGTTTTTGAAGAGTGCTACTGTCAATGAATCTCTTCCCACACTCTGAGCATTCAAAAGGTTTCTCCCCTGTGTGGATTCTAAAATGATTTTGAAGAGTGTCACTGCGACTGAATCTCTTCCCACATTCTGAGCATTCAAAAGGCTTCTCCCCTGTGTGGATAGCTAGATGATTTTGAAGACTGCCACTGCGACTGAATCTCTTCCCACATTCTGAGCATTCAAAAGGCTTCTCCCCTGTGTGGGTCCTTACATGTATTTGAAGACTGCTACTGTTATTGAATCTCTTCCCACACTCTGAACATTCAAAAGGCTTCTCCCCTGTGTGGATACTTACATGAGGTTGAGAAGTGCTACTGTCACTAAATCTCTTCCCACACTCTGAGAATTCAAAAGGCTTCTCCCCTGTGTGGGTTCTTAGATGGGTTAGAAGATGGCCACTGTACCTGAATCTCTTCCAACATTCTGAGCATTCAAAAGGCTTCTCCCCCGTGTGGGTTCTTAGATGTTTTTGAAGAGTGCCTCTGTGAATGAATCTCTTCCCACATTCTGAGCATTCAAAAGGCTTCTCCCCTGTGTGGGTTCTTAGATGGTTTTGAAGATGGCTACTGCGACTGAATCTCTTCCCACACTCTGAGCATTCAAAAGGCTTCTCCCCTGTGTGGGTCCTTAGATGAGTTTGAAGAGTGCTACTTTGACTGAATCTCTTCCCACATTCTGAGCATTCAAAAGGCTTCTCCCCTGTGTGGGTTCTTAGATGGGTTTGAAGATGGCCACTGTGACTGAATCTCTTCCCACACTCTGAGCATTCAAAAGGCTTCTCCCCTGTGTGGGTTCTTAGATGTTTTTGAAGAGTGCCTCTGTGAATGAATCTCTTCCCACATTCTGAGCATTCAAAAGGCTTCTCCCCCGTGTGGGTTCTTAGATGTTTTTTAAGATGGCCACTGCAACTGAATCTCTTCCCACATTCTGCGCATTCAAAAGGCTTCTCCCCTGTGTGGGTTCTTAGGTGGGTTTGAAGATGGCCACTGCAACTGAATCTCTTCCCACATTCTGAGCATTCAAAAGGCTTCTCCCCTGTGTGGGTTCTTAGATGCGTTTGAAGACTGCTACTCTGACTGAATCTCTTCCCACATTCTGAGCATTCAAAAGGCTTCTCTCCTGTGTGGGTTCTTAGATGTTTTTGAAGAGTGTCTCTGTGACTGAATCTCTTCCCACATCCTGAGCATTCAAAAGGCTTTTCCCCTGTGTGGGTTCTTAGATGGGTTTGAAGATGGCAACTGTGACTGAATCTCTTCCCACACTCTGAGCATTCAAAAGGCTTCTCCCCTGTGTGGGTTCTTAGATGGGTTTGAAGATGACCACCGCGACTGAATCTCTTCCCACAATCTGAGCATTCAAAAGGCTTCTCTCCTGTGTGGATTCTTAGATGATTCTGAAGATGGCTACTGTGACTGAATCTCTTCCCACACTCTGAGCATTTAAAAGGCTTCTCCCCTCTGTGGATACTTTGGTGCACAAGGAGCTGTGATCTGTATTTGAAGTAGTTTCCACACCAAAGGCATTTACATGCATTCACTATACTGTGCTTTGGAAAATGTGCATTACCTTTTTCTCCCATAGAGATTATTATTCTACTCCCTGACCAAATAAATAGCTTCCCTCCTGTATGAATCCTTTGGTGTCGAACAAGGTCTGATTTCTCTGAGAATCTCTTACCCAAGTCTGAGCAGCTATAAGGTTTCTCTCCTCTACATGTTCTTTGATGTCTAAGGAGCTCTTCTTTGCGAATCATGGTCTTTCCACACTCCAGCCATCGATGGGTCTTCTTCTCATTGTGCATTCGTAAATGGACATTATACTGGAATTGATCTGAGAAGTTCATTCCACACGTGAAGCACTTGTATGTCTCCTTCACCATGTCAATTACTTCTTGGAAATCCTGCCCTTGGCGAGGAATCGGTTTACCCCTCTTCTGGATGATGTGGCTTCTTTTCTGCCTTTTAGGTCCAACTTGGTTTCTGAAGTTTTCTCTCAAGTCTTCATCCTTGACTTCATCTGGTGATAGAGGATGCAGTTCCTCATCCTCTTCATTTCTCTGATCATCCCCTGCTGGAATAAAGAAACAGATCCTGTTAGAACCCACACAAAGAGGTCTGATCTGCACCTTAAATTCCATCCGCAATCCAGATATTACGGTGGCTTCTTCTCGCTGTATGCTGAAGTCAACAATAACATACACTTTAAAAGTACATGAAGCCTCCTGCATGAGAGATGCTTGGTTTGGACTCTAACCATTTATATGGGTTCTTTTTTGACTGAGGCTCTTTCCGCACTGCAAGCAATTACACGGTTTCGCTCCTAAGGGAATTTGGGTCTGCAAAATGATGTTCATTCCCTGACTGAAGGTCTTTGCCAAGGCCACACTTTCAGTTTCTCTGGAGTGAATTATCTGGTTAGTATGGAGGCCTTTGTTTCTTCTCTTTTTCATTGACCTTTCTTCTTGGACTGGGATTTCAGAGAAACCCCCTCCTCAGTAAGGAATGGACTTATCCCTCCTTTTACCTGCTTGGCTTCCCTCCAGCCTCTGTGGTCCATCTCCATCTCCAAAGTGTCCTTCAGCATCTTCATTCTTTACTTTTTCCAAAGACAACCCCATGAATTCCCCAGCTGCCTCCTCTACATCTGCTCCTGGAATAAAGAAAGAGTTTCAATCATCACCTAGGCAAGAAGCCAAGGCACCAGCCCGGCACTGCTCAGGAATAGGTGTGCATTTCTGTTATCCAATCATCTTTCCTCCCAAACTGAGTGGTTCCACCGTATCCCTGCCAGGACCTCCGGTAGAGTTGCTTTTAATATTCTGTCTATCTCTCCCCTCCCCAAATGCCACATATGTATTTTAAGGGGGAAAGTGGCAAAATATCCCCCCCCCCCAGTTCCCATTTGAGTTACCGTGATTTTTGACTTCTGATGCTCTCTGCACGTGACAATTTAATCCAAGAGGTTATCAAGATATCCGGTCCTGCAACTGCACTGAGAGTTTCCTTCCAGCTGTCAACAGATACAGGAGGAGCTGCTTTTCAGCCTCTCCAAAATGCATGTTTTCCGGGGGGAGGAGAGAAGCCAGGAGCTCACCAAGTGAACCCCACAGTTCAAAGGGGGCCCCCAGGGTTTTTGGGAAAGGTGCCAGTTGTTGGGGGGGGCAGGTAATGACAGATGAGAAAACCAGCCTTGCAGTGTAGGGCCACCTTTCTCAAGGTCAGAGCCATTTTTCCCTATTTCTGAGTTGTTCTCTGCACCTTAGCTGGGCCTCTCTAATGCCTACAGCACAGCCATGTCTGAATCATCCAGGCAGTTCTGCACAGAGTCAGCCAGTCTCTCCGGAAAGAAGTATATCTTTATTGTCAGCAAGAGAGAGCCAGAAGACTGATTATCAGCCCTCCAGGTCATCAGCTCCTAACAGTAGACTAAGGCCCTCGGGAAGCCCGTCCCAGATGAACAGGCAGTGTCAAAAAGTCCAGGTAAGACCCCAGAAGAGTCTGTCCTGTTCCATCCTCCCAAAGCACCTGAAAGACGCAGTGACCACACAGCAAGCATGCAGTTATCCAGGTGTTCAGCAAGACCAGATGATAGAATCTAAACGTGGGGAAGTTACTCTGGCAGACCCTTAGAGCAGCAGAGGGTTCTCATCACTGTCAACCCTCTTCCCTGGGGACAGGGGGAGATGGGGCTGGTCGGCCTTGGAGAAACTTGGGCATCAGGGCACGCTGAGTGGACAGGTATACCCAGCTTTTCTATGTGTTTGTGCTGTTCTTTGGCAGATGGTTTCCTGCTTCAAGAGCCAGTTTGGTGTAGTGGCTAAGTGCGCGGACTCTAATCTGGGAGAACCGGGTTTGATTCCCCACTCCTCCACTTGCACCTGGCTGGATGACCTTGGGCAAGCCATAACTCTGGCACAGCTGTTCTTGAAAAAGAGCAGTTTCTGTCAAGCGCTCTCTCAGCCCCACCTACCTCACAGGGTGTCTGTTGTGGGGAGGGGAAGGGAAAGGAGTTTGTAAGCCACTCTGAGACACCTTTGGGTAGTGAAGGGTGGGGTATAAATCCAATCTCTTCTTCTTCTTCTTCTTCTTCTTGGGGCTGGAAGGGACATAGCTTTTGGGAAGGAATTGGTTGCTTGCTTCTTGGGGAGACTATAGTGGCTACAATGCTTTGTCTATCTTGTTGTGGCTTAAACAAACTGTGCGTCAACTGAGGACCTGACTCTCTCCTTACCGGGCTGACAGTTTCAGTGGGAATCTCTTCTGTAACACACGATCCCGCTCTCTTGGGGTGAGGACTGATTCCCGTCACCACAGCAGAGGGTGCTGTGTGATTTGGCATAAACTACTTGCCCTTGGGTGGCAGTGTTACCTGGTGGGACTACCCACAGCAGGCCACCCCTGCAAGGTAGAACAGCTCCACAGAAAGCACTCAAACCCATTCCCACCTGATAGGAAGGCCTAAAGGCATCCAGGCGACAGCAGGAAGAATGGTTATACGTGCCTTTGGCATCATCCAGCAAGGCGGTGCTTAGATAACCTCCCTCTTTTCCTGGAATATCCAGTATTTAACAATAGTGCTGCCACTGAAGAGCCACAGCTTATGAGGTTCCAGATCCCAGGACCCAGAAGGCCTCCCCTCCCTCCTTACCCAGCAAGCTTGAGAATTCTACCAAACCAAGAGTCACTTGGAAGTGAAGAGGAAAGGTCCCATGGCTATTCTTTGCCCGTTCCCATGAAGGATACTGACTTGCAGCCAGTTCATTTGGGAAGGAAATAGTCTCTTGTGATCTTCCTGAGAAACCCTCCAGCCATTCTTTGAACACAAGGCCTCGGTCCGTCTCCACCACAGTCTCTGTTACTTTCCTGACTTCTTTGGTGCAGGGGGAGGGGGGGGAGAGAGAGAGAGGGGGAGAGAGAGGGGGGGAGAGAGGGAGACAGAGAGAATATGTATGTCTTCCATAATCTGGTCTACAGTCAGATATGTTTAAATCCTCTTGAAACTAAGTAAAGTTAAATATGTCTCAAAATATGTAAATGACTATCATAAAACAAATGTAACCTCTTGTACACCTCTGTTTCTGTAGACTTGAGAGGGGGAGAGAGAGAGAGAGAGAGAGAGAGAGAGAGAGAGAGAGATGATTCCTATGTGGGGAAGGAAAGAAATCCAAGGAAGAGGAAACATTCTTCTGGAAGGACGGAACCATGGTCAAGATCAAAGACCAGAATCCTAACCAGTATAAGAGGGATGGATCCTTTACAGATCACAGTCAGTGCTGAGGGCCATAATCCCATCTGTGGGAAGGGCATGTTGTAAAGGCTGGCAACTAAGAAATTGGGATCTGGTCCCTTCCAGAGTCTTTCTGAGGGCCTCTCAGCACGTCTCGGCTACAGGGCAGGACACCCTCTCTGGCCATGCTGAATCATCATGTTCACTGCCATCCCAAACTCCTTGAGGCCCCCAGCAGGGGGGGGGGGAGTAGCCAGTCAGTCCTCACAACTACATGTTGCTATTCAATATTTTGATTCATGCATCATCCCAATGGCAGCAATTCGCACCTACGAAAGGTCCTTACCCAGAGAGGCCACGCTCCCATAGTTCTCCAGCATGACGTCCCTGTAGAGAGCTCTCTGGCCAGGAGCCAGCAAGACCCACTCTGCCTCGGTGAAATACACGGCCACCTCCTCAAAGGAAAAGGGAGGCTGAAAGGAGAAGCAGATTCCCTCATCAGAGATCAATCCAGGCAGAGACTACAGTCTCAACAGGGCCACTCGAGGAAGGTGCAGGATTTAGAGTTTTGCTTGCGTAAATAGAGTGGGGTTCAGAGCGTGTCTCTCCTTGGTCAGCAGGACCAAAAGCCTCATGACAAAGGAGGGGAGACCTGACTATCCCCCAATCTTCCCCCCTACCTGGACCAGAGGTGGAGCAGCCGTTTCCACTCCTCTGAAAAGACAACAGCTTGACAGCCTCTCTTCACTGCCTGCAAGGGAGACAAAATTGGAAGGATGAATGTTAACCTCAAGTTCCTCTTGTGTTTGCTTCTTTGAATTCTGCTTCACGCACCCGTTCCCAGGATTGTGACACCTTTTCGTCTTTACACTCAAGAAAACTTGTAATGACTTTTAGTAAGGTGTCGGAGAGGTGGAAGAGAAGCATCAGGTACCCATGAGCCCTGTGAACCCTTTAGCTCCAAAGGCTGCAGGATACCTTCTGGATCCGACCAAAAAACCAGGCACCCCATTTTTCCACCTGCTGGGCCCTCCCACCCATCCTAGAGTCCAGACTGGCAGGAGAAAAAGAGGGGACCGTAAATCATGTTGCACAACATGTCTGCAATCAGTGTTCCCTCTAAGCTGAGTTAGTGTGAGCTAGTTCACAGTTTTTCAGCTTCCAGCTCACACATTTTTGTTGTTGCTCAGGAAGGATGGCTCCAGAGCAAACTAAGTTATGTAGTAGCCAAATTGCTCACTCACAACTTTAATGCCAGTAGCTCACAACATAGAATTTTTGCTCAGAAGACTCCACAGCTTAGCGGGAACATTGGTCTGCACCACATTTCCCCCCCCCCCAAACCCAGACGTGATTTTAGTGCACCAGGCAAGGCTCTGGAAACTTTCAGGTACAACCAGTGGGTTTCCAGGGTGACTCCTGATGCTCTGACTTCAGATCCAGACATTAGGCTGGTTGAGACATCAACATGACATTTATTCACCTTGGGTAAAAGCTACACCCTCATTTCTCTTCCTTTCGTTTTCTGAGTCACCCTGAGACCCTCTAATGGAAGGAAAGTGAAAGAGGCTTATTTTAATTAATGTAAATAAGAATGGAACTGTCCTCCATGAATCTGTCTCCTCCCCTTTAAAGTGGAGAGGCCATCACGACATCCTATGGCACTCTGTGTCCCAGAACTCCATTCTATGTAGTCTGCAAAAGTATTCCCCTGATCCTTTCCCCGATCCCATCTGGGCAGGAAGCACCCTTGACAGGGCATCTCGGGCATCCTCCTGGGCCTGTGCCCTCTGACCTTCCTCTGACGGAGCTCCTTCTGCTTCAGAGAACTTTGCTTCCATCTTCACGGATCGCCCACACATCTGAAACAACAACAACAATGGAGGCAGGTAAGAGAAGCAATGGAAATATCTAGTGAAATATCTAGAGGTAGAAATATCCAAGAAAAGATGGGAACAGTACACTGAGGAATTATACTAAGGCGATGAAAGGATGACAGATTCCTTTCCAGAAGAATCTTTCGAAGAAGAACCAATGGTTTTGGAAAGTAAAAGGAAACTTGCACTGAGAGTAATGGGGAGAAACAGATCACCAGGGGTAGATGGGATATCAATAGAACTATTCCAAGGCACAGAAAAGGAGTCCTTCAAATCTTAACAAGAATATGCTAACAAAGATGGAAGATGAAACAATGGCCCACAGTCTGGAAACACTCACTTTACATTCCAATTCCAAGAAAAGGAGACATTGCATTGGAACATATGAGATAGTTTTAGAAGAAAATCAGCTTGCGTTTCAGAGATTACAGCAAAGATTTTGACTGTGTGGGTCATGGAAAGCTACGGCTGGTTTTAACAGAAATGAGTCTGCCACAACAAGTGTTTGCACTGATGCGCAACCTGTACTCTGAACAAGGGGCCAGTGTTAGGACAGAAGATGGAGAAACAGAATGGTTTCCAAACTGGCAAAGGTGTCAGACCACAATGTATCTTATCTCCCTTTCTCTTCAATCTATATGCAGCACATATCATAAGGAATGGTGGATTCGATTTAGGTGAAGGAGGAGTGAAAACTGGTGGAAGGAACAGTAACTATTTGAGTTATGCAGTTGACACCACGTTACTGGCAGAAAACAGTGAAGTCCTGAAACAACTACTAATGCAGGTTAAAGCAGGAAGCGCCAAAGCGGGATTACAGCTGAACATCAAGAAGACAAAAGTCTGGAATTCCAGAAATGTAGGGTTAATGATGAAGAACTTGAAATTGCTCAAGATTGTCTGTTCCTTGGCTCCATCGTCAACCAAACGGGAGACGGCAAGCAAGAAATCAGGAGACTGAGGCTGGGAAGGGCAGTCTAGAAGGAGCTAAAAAGATTCTCCAGTGTAAGGATGTGTCGCTGGTGACCAAGACTGAGTTAATTCATGCCAGAGTAGTTAGCATTACTATATGTGGGGAAGGAGGAGGAGAAGACTTGGATTCATATCCTGCCCTTTACTCGGAGTCTGAGAGAAGCTTACCATCTCCTTCCCTCCCTCTCCCCACAACAGACACCCTGTGAGGTAGATAGGGCTCAGAGAGCTCTGAGGAAACTGCTTTTGAGAGAACAGCCACTGACCCAAGGTCACCCAGCTGGCTACATGTCGAGGTGTGGGGAATGAAACATGGTTCTCCAGATTAGAGTCCCCTGCTCTTAACCACTACACCAAACTAGCTCCTAGTTGTGGTATTGGAGGAGAGTTTTTATGGATATTGTGGACCACCAAAAAGACAAATCAGTGGGTTCTAGATCAAACCAAACCTCAACTCTCCCTAGAAGCTATGATGACTAAAATTAGACTATTGTACTTTGGTGACATTAAGAGAAGACAAGAGTCACTGGGAAAGACAATAATGCTAGGAAAAATTGAAGGCAGAAGGAAAAGAAGAAGACCAAGCCTGATGGCACTCGGCTCGAACGATCCGTTCGTCCTGCACCTGATGGTACTCGGCTCGGGCAGGAAGAAGGAGGGTCCCCCTGGAAGATGCCACCCCTGCTAGCACCCGAGCCGTCCGGCGCTCCTCTATGGCTGCCCGCTGCACCGCAGACGCCCCCGCCGTCGACCCGGCAAAAACAAGCTGGTCCCGGTCGACTAGGCGTGCGCCCCAAAATGGCGGCTGCACTGGCGGTGTGCAGTTAGTCCAGCCGCCTGCTGCATCTCCAGCCCCGGTAGGGACCCAGCGCCAGCCTGAGGATCCGGACATCCTGGCAAGGCCGTCTGGAGGCTTTTCCCCTGCCCGTGGCTGCGCTAGCTCAGTGAAGGTAGGGTTCTCAATTTTTCATCCCCCCAGTCTTGCCTTGTAAGCCGCCCTGAGACACTTCGGCAGGAGGGCAGGGTAGAAGTTTAATAAATAAATATAAATAGATAGACTCAGTCAAGGAAGCTACGGCCCTCAGTTTGCAAGACCTGAGAAAGGCTCTTAACGATGGGATGTTTTGGAGGACATCAATTCATACGGTCATTAGAAGTCAGAAGGAAATTGGTGGCAGTGAACACGCACACAAACAGAAATATCTGGCAGGGGAGCCTTAGGATAAGGTCATTGCTTGAACTGAGTGAATGAAAACCCCTCACCTGCTCTGCCTGCCTCTTCTCCTCTGCCTGACTCAGGAGGAAACCTTCGGCCAGGGCCACTGCCTGGGAACTGGTCTCTGGCCCACATCCTCTGACCCAGCAGTGCATGTCCTGGGGCAGGACGGCCAGGAACTGCTCCAGGATCACCAGGTCCAGGATCTGCTTCTTGGTGTGCCTCTCCGGCTTCAGCCAGTGGTTGCAAAGTCCATGGAGCCGGCTGCAAACCTCTCGGGGCCCATCAGCCTCGTGGTAACAGAACTGCCAGAAGCTTTGGCTGCGTACTTCTGCAGCCATAGTGTCCTGAGTCAAGATCTCCGGCACACCTCTTTCCCAAAATTCAACACCACTCTCTGCTTGGGTGGGATAGGGACCTTTCCTTGATGTCTTGCTAATTCCAGGGCTTTCTGGGTCCTCCTCTTCCATCTCCTTCTCCTTTTTCTTGGGTTACCTCCGACTGCGGAAAGACACTCTTATTCACTTGCCTATGAAGAGGGAAAGATATCAAAAAGGCAGAAAGGAACCAAAAGAGAATGGAGTTATATCAGTGACCTGGTCAAGACAGACCTAAGTGGATCAGAAGGAGTGTTGTAGTTTGCGAATCAGGATTAACCTCATTGGGTTATATTAAGTATGAAGCTTCTTAGGTTATGCTTGTTTGGTTCTTCAGGAAAGAAAAAACATCTGTGCTGGGCTTATTATCAATCTGCTGTGGATGTCATGAGCTTGGCCTTCGGTACCTGGGGACCAGTCTGTCTAGTGGGTGCATCTCAAGGTAAACTGGGGCCAAGGACAAAGCGAGTGGGAAGGGCTTAACCACTACAGAGAGCTCCTCCATAGGCCAGGAGGGCTGGGCAAGAGCTCTGCCCAGGAAGCAGCCAGCCGAGGGGAAGGGGCAGAGGGGCCTCTCCAGGTCAGGGCACACGGGGGCTGCTGGGGGGCAAACAGGAGCAGGAGAAGGAGGCAGGGATGGGGCAGAGGTCCTTAGCGGCTTCCTGGCTGCTGTGGTCAAATGGCTGAGAGCGAACAAGTTGAAACTGAACTGCCACAGTGACCTGGGGACTGGACTAGATCAATGCCCTGTAGGTTACATAAGACCAAATCAGACACTCCAGCTGGTGCAGAACGCCAGGGCTGAGCCATTATCAGGGGCTAGGTGAATTACTGCCCTTCTGCCGTCTCTCCACTGGCTGGCCTGGACAGGGGTCTTCTCCCTTCTGGCCCCCAGGAACGGTCTGCCTGAGGGGGTCAGGAAGGCACCCACTCGCCTGGCTTTCCACAGACGAAGCAAAACTGGATTCTTCAAGAGGGCTTTTCTAAGCAAGCAATGGGGTAGCACTGGAGAAAAGGCTTCACACAGCTTCCTGTATGCATCCTTTGGGCAGGGGGGTCTGAAGGACTGTGTTTAGTTTGCTGTAAGCTGGATCCTGCTAAGTCATTTTGCAGCACTTTGGGGGTCCCGTTAACATTGATGCTTTCCCTCAATACTGTTTTTCAGATTTCTGGTCGGTTCTCCAACCCAAATTCTGTTGCATAGTTTATTGAACGTATTAACTGTACGGAGCTGAAGGGTGGACTATAATCAGTCTTACTAAATAAAATATCTTAAATAACCCCCCCTAACTTGGGAATCTGCAGATGGGGGGAGCACCGCCCATTCCTCCCCCGTGATCCCGCCTGGGGCTTCTTCCCGGGCCTCCCTGGCGGAGGATTTATCCCGATTTCCAGAACTCAGATCCCGCCTTTCAGACCCTGCCGGGGGCCCCCAACAGGGACTAAGAAAGGAAAAAAATCCGGCAGAAAAACCATCTTTTAAACTACTAACCACCACCACCAAGCTACCCGAGAGCGGAACGTCTGCCTTTCGAGACTGCGATGATGACTTACTCGAGAGGAGACCCTCCCAAGGTCCGGTTGCTGGGTCCTTCACTGCCACGGCCTGTCCGAAGCCCCCCCCCCGCTCAGAAGCCAACACTTCCGGTAGCCCCCCCCAAAGCACCTCCCTCCCTCGATCGGCCGCTCAAGCCAAGAGCTCGGCTGCCTTAACCCTTTCAGAGCTGCAGAGCCAGGAAAGAGGAGGCGCCTCCCGCCCTCCCCGTCGTCGAGAGCAGCAGCGCCCGCACACACACGCCTCTGAGCTGGATTTGGGCCCGGCTGTCCTCAAGAGGCCCCCCAGAATGCAGCTCAGTGGGATTCCTCGGGAGTAACTCCACACAGGGCTGCTCTCTCGGGAATCCCCGTCTGCTCAGCTACCTTCTCAGAAAGCGGGCGGTTGAGTTGGGAAAAAAGGGAAGAGCAATTCTAAGCAGGTCTAATGGGGACCCTCCCTGGGGTCTCTAATCTTCAGTGTGTTGTACACACGGCTTATGGAACCAGTACTCTGCCACTGGCTAACCATCAGTTTACCTTAGTAGGTGCTCTTAACGCTTCCAGGGTGCAGATGTTAAGTGCCTTTGATGATTCTAATCACAGTGACTGAAATCAATCATGAACATCTATTCAGATATTCACTTTGGTTCATTGCTTAAAGGCATTCTGGGTAAAATACCAAATGCTGACAGGCAGTAACTGACTGACCTTGCTTATAGTGGCCAGCTGTAATTGCGCATGTCCCTGATGTCAGTTTGCTTGCGTTAGATGGAGAACACTGCATAATGTGCTAAGATTTGTTACATTAGATACTTCTTGGAATTTTACAGCCTGAGAAAAGAAGGCCTATTGTTTAGCTGAAGGAGTTATATTTTTGCCTGAGAAAATCCAGCCTACAGGTTCGAGCCCAATCAGAATGGAGTGAAGGATATGTGACAAAGTTTGATGGAACCAATAATTGTGATTTATTTCTAACTGTCATAGGGGGTATAAAACCCTATGTCTCCCATTGTAACCTTAGGGAGAGCTGTGGGGTCCAAAACCTTTTTGGATCTGCACCTACCTCCTTTGTTGATCAATAAAGTACAAGATCTGATTCTCCTCTACAAGACTGCCGCGTGCTTTCTCAAATTGGGCTGGGGGAGCACAACCTTTGACGGAGTTTCTGTCTTACAAGTGGATCTGGCTTCCTCCCAGGAAAGTGGCTTTCAGGGATTGCATTTGCAGTGAAAATCCAGGTTCTTGTTTGGGAACTGCTCTCTTTCCATGTTGGGGAAAGTGAAGTTGGGCCCTCGATGGGGGGAGGACAGCGTATGACTCCTGCAGGGAGGTGGGGGCTGGGAATGGAAGGTGCCCTGGCTTGGCTTTCTCCTATCTTTGCCCCTCACCCCTTTGGGGGCTTTGGCATTCACCCTGATGGGTTTCGGAGAGGGAGGGTGAATCCTAGGGCAGGGGTGGCCACTTGCTTAATGTAAGATCCGGATAGAATAAAAACAAAAGGGGTAAAAACAGATATTGATATTCATTTGCCCGATTATATTTGTTTGCTAATGATATTTATTGGTCTAAGAGAGAGAGAGAGAGGTGAAAATAAAAAAAATGAAAGAGGTGGAGAGAGAAAAACCAAATAGATGGGGAGGGGGAAGGAGGAAAGTGGAAAGAAAGCAAATAGATGGGGAGAGAGGTAGGAGGAGAGAGAAAGAGAAAACAAATAGATGAGGGAGGATGGAAAGAAGGGAGTAATGAAAAAGGTGGAAGAAGAAGAAGAGATTGGATTTATACCCTGCCCTTCACTACCCAAAGGTGTCTCAGAGCAGCTTACAAACTCCTTTCCCTTCCCCCCCCCCCCCACAACAGACACCCTGTGAGGCAGGCGGGGCTGAGAGAGCTCTTGACAGAAAACTGCTCTTTTTCAAGAACAGCTCTTATCAGAACTATGGCTTGCCCAAGGTCATCCAGCAAAGTGCAAGTGGAGGAGTGGGGAATCAAACCCGGTTCTCCCAGATTAGTCCACACACTTAACCACTACACCAAACTGGTAGAAAGGAGAAAGAAAAAGAGAAATAGACACAAAGGAAGCAAATAGATGGGGGGGGGAGGAAGAAAGGGAGCAAGAGAAAAAAAGCAAATAGATGAGGGAGGGGGGAAAGGAAAATAGAAAGAGAAAAAAGAAAGGGGAAAGAAAAATGGAAAGAAAGCAAGTAGATAGGGAGGGACGTGGAAAAGTGGGAGAGAGGTGGAAAGGAAGGAAATAAATGGTGAAGGAGGGAGGGAAGAAGGGAGAGGTGGAAAGAAAGCAACTTTAACTTTAAATGTCAGCTCTCGCTTCATCCTCCCCAGCTCTGGGGTATACCATGGACCTAGTTTGTGCCATGGGTGCCAGGGAGTGATCTCGTCAATGGTTTTGGAGAGTCGGCTATACCAATCTTCCACAAGCTCATTTAATGAATCTCCAGTGGGCATCAGATCCCACAGAGTTTCCAGGAACCTAATGGGGTCCATTCAACTCCATGGGTGAGCATAAATCTGCTTGCCACCTAAACAAGGAAGGTTCAGCCTACTCAGACGAGCCCTCAGGGTGAGGTGGCCTGACCATGGTACTGCCTCAGCAGCTTCCAGATCCACATCTATCCCCATGCCAAAAATAAGGTCCAGCATGTGACCTGCTTGATGGGTGGGAGTCGATACAAATTGGGAAAGCCCAAGTGCCAAGATGGGTGTTTTTTCCTAGCCCCACACCTGGTATCTCTTGAGATGGGACAA